ATTTTGCTGTGGTTCAATAAACATATGTAACATTTCATGTTTACGCCCCTAACAAAAATCCATGACATCATAATCCAAACAAGTAAGAATATTAGCTTGTTTTACCTTACAAGAAATTAAATTAAGTCCTTCACTGAGAATACATAAATAAGCTTGCTACAAGTAAAATAAATCTTATGTAAAAAGAGAGGAGGTTAGGTCAGGTTGTGGAGGTAGATGCCTTGAATCCCAGCACTTGGGAGGCAGAGGTAAGCAGATCTTTGTGAGTTCAAGGCCATCCCAGTCAACAGATCAGGACAGGCTCCAAACCTACATAGAGAAACCCTATTCCATTTTTTTTGTTTGTGTGTGTGTGTGTGTGTGTGTGTGTGTGTGTGTGTGTGTGTGTTACAACAAAGGTAAGTTTATGTAAATTAATTTATTACAGAAAAAATACACTGCATAGCCAAGTATGGGAGTATGTCTGTAGTAGGGGCTGAGACAGAAGGATAGCTTGAGAATGGGGGCTAAAGACCAGTCTAGGCAGCAGAGTAAGACACCAGTTCACAATTAATTAGTAACAATTCACTGCAGATTTCAACTAAATATTGTCTCTTCCACTTACAGCACAGAATGGATGTGTCTGGATAGATGGGTCTAAAATTCAGCTCCTGTGATTAGGTAATTTCAGCGAGCATAGCAGAACTATCATGTAATTTCGGATGGGATAGAAAACTGTATGTTGGAAAACTGGCCTGAGTCCTTCAAATAGCTCAAGAGCAGAGGAAGCCCTGGCCATAGCCCCTTCAGCTTTGCTTCGATTCCTTCCTTCCAATCAATGCAGTCCTCTCAACCAGGGATGATATTTTTTTTTTAACCTTACAGGTTAAGTTTTATATTAACATCTACCCCGTCATAATTTTTTTTAGCAGGCTTTAAGCAGCAAATTTGTTTTTTTCGTGTGTGGTAGATAATCCATGGCCTTTCTCACTTCACTCTTCAGGACAAAGTGCAATAGACACAGTGTTGTGTTTTTTTCCTTCTTGGATATTTAAGCTCTGGTAGACTCATATTTTCCATGAGTAAAGTTAGAAACATTTAGGCTACAACCAGTCCAAAAATATGCCTAAGTTCCAAAAGAGGAAAATCATGTCATACAAGGGTAAATATAATATTGGATCAATTCATTTCATTTAAATCCATGTATTCTGGATGCCTCCCAAAGTAAGCTTCTTAGTAATTTGTCTTCCTGGAGTTGTTTTTTTATAAAACTTATTGCACTTTGCATTTCTCTCTAGATGGATCTTTATGTGTCATGTTATTTTGGTTACCCCCATTATTTTTCTTAAGTCTACAGTTAAATAGTCCAAATAATAGGTTCATAATTAGGAAAGCAGCAATTGATTATACATTGTTTTTTTTCTCCTCACTAGTTTAGTGTCTTGTAATCTCCTCCACCCCCTTAACTTTGCAGCCACCATTCACAGGTAGATCACCAACTATTGTTACAATGATAGTCTTATTTCCTAATTTCTTCAGACACTTTTGTCTTTCTCATCAGAGATAACTTTCAATTAATTACACAGATCTTTAACATCATTGTGGTGCTGAAGTCAAACCAAGGATCTCATGCATGCTAGACAAACACTCTTCCACTGACCCACATCTCAGCCACCTGAGTGAATCTTACTCTTTTTCTACTCTATGTGTTTGAAAGGGTCCTTGCTTCCTTGAAAGAATTCCTTATAAATGGGAGGATGATCCCTCACTTTGAATTCTGTCATTGCCTATGTGTTTCATAGGCAGAAAGACGTTGGCTTTAGAGTCAGCCTTTGTTTCTAGGAGCTGATATGATGTCCCTGAAGAAAATCCCATGCTACAGCAAGATTGTTGGGATGCAGGGAATAACACACAGTCTTTATTGGGGTGCTTTATGGTTGGTGCTCACAGCTTTGTCCCAGACCCAACTCTGCAGTTGGGGTAACATTCCGAGCTGATCCTTGCCCTCCTAAGCACTGGTGCCAGCTCTATTCTCAAGGACACTCCTCTCTTGAGGTATAAATTTGTTACTGGGAAAATAAGAGATTAGATTTAGTGATGACCATATATGGTGACATATCCTATAATGCCAGCATTCAGAGGCTGAGGGGTTAGAGGTCAGCCTGTACTATAAAACAAACAAAAACTCTTAAATAAACGATCTCTAGTTTTAGCCATCTTAACGTAGGGTGAGTGTGACGACAATGAAAACAAATACAAGAGCACACTATGCCACCTACAAGCAAATGGTTGGCTTCCATGCTGGTGACCCAGTGAACTCTGCAAGGGATTCTTCCCAAATTTGCTTTTGCTATCAGGAAGCTTCTTCCTTCATGTAGCTTTTCCCTGTGACTCCACAGCATGTACTTTATGAGCCAAACCACCATAACTTTAGATAGGTGCTATCATTTGCTTCTGCTTCCCACAGTATTTGCTGTTATGCATGCTACTGTATTCTGTGTGTCTGTAAAGTACTCTGGAACAAGGCAAGAGAGAATACCATGCATAGAAATATGATCCTAGACATAGGCAGGCACAGCAGCACATACCTATAATCCCAGCACTCTGGAGGTAGAGGAAGGATGATCGAAAGTTCAAAGTGCTGAGTTAGAGGTGAGCCCAGATATAGGAGACCCTGTCTTAAAAGACAGACAACAAAAGGATCCTGGAAACTGTTAAGTCAGACACTCTGGACTCCATCCACCATTGATAGATGGATTTTTGCCCTTTGACAATGAGTCCTCTTAAGTCTTGGTTTCTTCATTAGTACCTTAGCCTCCTTCCAAGCTTTCTTTGAAGAACTAGGCAAGACAACTAAAGTGCTCAGGACAGAGTGGGCAAGCTGTAGAAGCCTAATCCCTTCTTTCTCACCTTCCTGGGTTATCTCTGAAGAAATCAATACACCCTGAGCTCAAACACCATCTGTATACTATGGATGTTCTAAGAGTTCCACTCTTCGCAGATCCGTATTCTCCATAGACAGTATTAGCTAGAGCCCAGGAATGGCAAAGGCACAGATTTCACACGATTCTCCTGAACAGAATCCATTTGGTGGTTAGAGTAAGGAACCAGGCAGGCACCAGGGGACTGTTTGAAACCTGCTTCAGAGCTGGCTACACAGTATCTGAAGTCCTGCCTCCAGCTATAAAACACAGCCAAGCACGTCTGCCATCTTGGAACCCTGCAGAGATGCTTGGCGGATTCCTAGGATGAAAGGTGCTGTAAATTTAAATCACTAATGTGAGAAGAGACACCAGGAGCAGGTGCCATCAGTAAGCTCCTCACTAGCCCTGTTCCCCTCCTAACTGGAAGCGAACACCCTTGAGACAGCAGAGAGGATTTGCTCTGTGAATAGGGATCCTCAGATGCCTGTGTGTGCTGGAGTGATCACAGGCACAATCAATAATTTCATCCATAAATAACAAGAAGTAAGTGCCCCTGGGGCTTGCTGCAATAAAGCAAATGATGACATAGTTCCTAATCCCAATGGGAAAGATTAAAAAGAGATTCCAGAGAATATTTATCTGAAATGCCTTAGCTTTAAACTTTGAGAACAAATAATCTACAGGCCTGAACATAATTTCCAATAAACGTTTTTGATGACATCTTAAATTCTGATGAATAAATCTAAGTGTTTCTTGGGGTGAGGATGTAAACTGGACTTTTTACCATGCAAACCCTCCATATGCACCCTACTGAGAAAACTGGGGAGCAGTGTCCAGTGCCGGAGAGTAAGGGCTGTGAGGATAATGGTCCCAGGAAGTTATTCCTCTTAGTTCCTGCCCACAGTAAGAAGCCCAGACCCCTCCCCACTAACCATAAACCTCATGTTGTTGTGTGCAGGCTCAGGGTTGATAGCTGGTGCAGTAAGGACGGCTTCCTTTCCTGGAAGGAATGGTGAATGTTTGATGACTGTGACTTCACCTAAAGCAACTGCTAGAGTCCCATTAATTACATATGAATAAATAAGTGAAACTGGAAAGATCCACAAGGGTGGCTTATTCATTCATTCATTCATTCATTCATTCCATTTGGCTCATGTGCTGGGTCTGAGACTCTGAAGGAGGCACTGGGCAGTTCAAAACAAGACTTGGTTGTTTCACCTTAACAATCATCAGGGATTACCTACATCTAAGCAAACCCCCAAGTTCTCCCGTGACCCCCTGAGATTTGTGAATGGAATGAAACCTCATTCATTGCTTGTCACCTTGGAATATTTCACCTGTTGGGGGCTTTTGTGGGAACAGCATTTTCAGACAGCATCTGCTGAGAATCCTGAATTTTTTTAGAAGGATTTCACATTGGTACATTCGCTGGAGTGAAATCACTTCTTATACTGACATTAATGTAGCTTGTCTGCTTTAAAATTTGAGTGTGTTTAGACCTAATTGGGTTGCTAAGAGGAACTTTTCTGGGAGTGGATGTTGCCTGCAGAGCAGGTTGTTAGAAAGTAAGGCCATCCTTGTGTTTGTCTGTCTGCCGAGTGCACTTAACTTGTCCTTCCACTCTTTGCCATTTTATGAGAATAGAAACTTTGCTGGAAGCTGCCAGCATGTTCTTGCACTTCCAACCCTCTGAACTGTGAGTTCCTTAGATTTCTTTCTTCAATAAGTAGCCCTGTTGTGCGATTCTGTTAAAGCAACAGAGCATGGACCATGGTGGAGAGCAGAGAATATAGATTCTTCCTTGTTGAAGTCTCCTGGAACTTCTTATCTATCATACTACCCTGTGTAGTTTCCCTCATCTAAGACTATGGAAGAGGAAACAGTGACCTTTACCTGTTCTGTAGCCAGTGTTATTGAGATACACAGCAAATGTCCGAGGCTCATGCATTGCCTGCCACGAGGGAGAAGAGCAGTTCTCATTGTTCGTGTAGACATTGTGGTTATGCACGTACTTCCCTGTGAGCATGGACGACCGAGACGGGCAGCACATGGGTGTGGTCACAAAAGCATTGGTGAAGGTGGCCCCACCGTGTTCCATGATCTTTCTTGTTTTGTTCATGACTTGCAGAGAACCTGAAAGGCATAGTTCTGGCACTGGTTAGCAAAGCATACCCTCTGCATACTTGCTTCCACCTTGCCTCTCAAGCCTCTCTGTTCTCTCCTGTGGGAAGGAGCCAATAATTGGTCAGCCAATAATTTGGTTCTTATTTCTAGAACAAAACAGACCATTTGGGGTCTAAATATCTCAGACATTCTGTAGAGTAATCATCCCGTTTCAGAATCTCTTTAACCACAAAGGAGAAAGCATGCAGGCTAATCATGTAATTAAAGCCAGACTTTCAGATAGGAGGAAGATTCCAATGTCAGGAACCTTCGAGGACCATTAGAATACAATGGCTTGTTACAGTGTAGCAGAACCCTGGAAAGGTCAGTAACACCAGAGTTTAGCAGACACAGCATTTTAGTTTTAATCCTATGGCAGAAGAAAAAAACAAAACAAACCCCCTACTAAGCAGAAGATCCTCCAAAATATATGTGATCAGAAATGGAGGAGTATAAGGAGGGGAAGGGAAGGGTTGGGGGAGGAGAGGAAAGGGGTTAAGGGTAGAGGTCTTCAAAGTAACTTGCCATCCTCTAGCAAACTAATCAATGAGTGCCCACATTTCTATCCGGATAAGACTATTGTGATGTGGCTAGTTGATATGTTATTTTTAAGGCTAGGTTGTCCTCTAACTCAAAAGCATGTGCCCATTTGTAAAATAGTCTATTACAACTTTAAGGATGAAATGGTAAGACAAGGTTTCTAAGGAAGAAAAAAAATCTGTCTAAATCAGTTGACTGCAGCTGAAACATGTCTACTTCCTGCAGAAAGACAGAGGCCACACTCAATAGTCTTTTCAGGTCTTCTCAAGAAACAAATGTACTGCAGAGTGCTACAGCCAAGCCCATTACACTTGAATCCTGGAGCCTCAGGTTTCTCTCTCTCTCTCTCTCTCTCTCTCTCTCTCTCTCTCTCTCTCTCTCTGCATTCCTTCCTATTTCTCTCTTTTTCTTTTCTTTTTTTTGTTTGAGAGAGGGTTTCTCTGTATAGCCCTGGCTGTCCTAGAACTCACTCAGACCAGGCTGGCCTCAAACTCAGTTTTCTAACAGGCTCCCCTCCATCCAGAGGAAAGGAAGAAAGTGTATGGTTTCCAGCACAGAAGAAAAACAGAGTCGCGCAGGGGCAAGTGAAGAGAAGCTGCAGTTAGCTGGAATCCTTTATTGTGCACATGATGCATAAGACAGTGGGGAAAGGGGGTTCTAACTGGGTCTCATTAGAGGGGTACTCCTGACTGCTCCTTCTCTCTGGTTATCTTCTGGGGATCAAGCACCCTTTTGTAGTCAGTACATGACACCACACACAGTGCACACCCACTTCATGCTGAACATGTTAGCGGCCTCAGCTCTATACACTGATTCCCTTGTAGCACAGGGGAAAGAAAGGAAATTCTCTGCCTCCAGTGTCCGGTACACACACCATGGATGAGAACTGACATACACATGTTGCTTGTGGATATTTGCAAAGCTCCCCCCGCCTACCGCAAGAATATGAACATAGCAGTAGCAAGAATGTAAGTCAAGAGGGTATTGGAGTGAATGCTTAACACAGGTCTGAGATGAGAGATGAGTGCATGGCAGGAAAAGGGGAGGAACTCTCAGGTAGGTAGTGTACAGTGTGTTGTTGGGGATAGAAGGAAGACTGCATGGGTGATGTTCTCTGCTGACAGGAATACCAGTAGAGCTTTGTGAATGGCTCATTGATTTTCTTCTGTGGAAAGAAATATGGAGCGTTTTCTTAGTAAAATGTGACCTGAGAAGCAGTGCAAACAGCTTGGATGCAATGCAGACACAATGGGATCTGATCACAAAATAAAGGCAGAGGAGAGTCTGATGAGCAAAGAATGCCTTGAGCAAAATTTGAGAGGCGTTGCTGCAAGAGTGATGGTGTGTGGGTAGAAGATGACAGCCAAAAGGCTGTTGAAGTCATCCTGCCCTGCTGCAATCAGGACTCCCCATCCCCTTGAGAGACAGGATCCAAGAAACAGATCCAAGGCATGCTGTAATTCATGGGAAAGGGCTGTGCGTTGACTAATGGCTAAGATTTTCAGCACAAGAAGAAATCTGGAAAGGGAATGGTCTCATTGATGATGAAGAAAGTAACTGAAAAGAATGCGCCTCACAAAAGATCAAAGAGAAATGCATTTCATTGGGGTTGCCTTTTACATTTGTGTTGGGTGATCATAGAGAGGAAATGTCCCAAACAAGAAATGATGAATAGAGATGAGGAAGTTGAAAGACTTTTTAAATGTGTCCACCAGCCTCCTCTCCTCTCCTCTCCTCTCCTCCCCTCCCCTCTCCTCTC